AGCAGTACGTCCTGCACAGCGGGAGGGGAGGAGGGGAAAGAAAGGCAGCGGGGCAGCTTCAGCCCGAACCCACACGTCAGCTTGTACAGGATGTCTGTAAGTTATAAGGATTTGACATCATTTTGCAGGTATACGGACGTATTGAGCAATCTCACGGATTTTTTCAAGTCTTACGGATATTTTAAAAACCTCATTTTCAAATTTATCTAACATGTCAGAGCCTATAGGATGATTTAAAAAACAATAAATAACATCAAACAGCCATCTTCCAACCTGTTATGCTGTTAGAAATAAGTTACTTTTTCCTCTCTCCTTTCCTCCTGCTTCGCAGCAGGCGCTTTCATGTCCGCAGCTGAAATAGCTAAAATATCAAAAATGATTAAAACATATTTACAGATTTGCACAGATTTGACTTCATTAGTGTTTAATTTATAATTCAACTGCTTGTTGTTTGAACTGTTTGGTGGATGTAGAAATGATTTTTGTGAGCTTTTAGCCAAGATGCGGAGGTTTCTGTTGGTACCAAACATGTCTATGATTAAATGACAGATGTTTACTTAACAAATGTTAAAAGAAATTTAAAAAAGAGGAAATGCAGTTTTACCCGCAGTACTGGGGACATGGGGCTCAAAAACTAAACTCTGGTCCCTTTTATACCTTTATTTCTGAAATCTTAATCAAATTTAGCAAGAATAATCATACTAATAATCGTCACAATAGTTCGTGACTGATCAATTAAAACACGTTAAAACATATGAGCCAACTTCTGCTCGGTTTTTCAAAAATATAATCAAACCTGAGGAACAGCAGCTTTCTCCTGTGCGTCGAGTTAAACCAGAACTTTACAGCTTTTATTTCAACCCTTTTCTCTGCTGCAGACACTTTCTGCACTACAAAGTAACATTTTTATGCAATATTTTTTTTCTCTAAATGCTTTTAAGGCAAACACAGTCAGACAACACTTTGCTTTATTATATTTTTTGCACAGAGAACCATGTAGTGAAAAAAATTTAAAAAAAACTTTTATTGTCAGAAATTTATTTGAACTCTGTAATCTGGTCTTGAACATTTTAAAGTCAATCACTAGTTTGAAAAGATAATTGTCTGATAAGGGAAGTGAAGGATTTTTTAAAATTAATCTGATTTTAATAAACGAGGAAAAAAGCTAAATAGATTTTGATTTTTTTCTGCTCGAGAAAAATAAAATCAGCTGCACGTCAGACATTTTTGTAAAGATCGTTAAATATCAGTTTTATAATCACCGTTAAAAAGGCTGTTTTTTTTACAAAAATGACTAAACAAGCTTTCTGAACAACACTTGGTGCACAGAAGCAGCAGCCAGCTTCCACAAACAGCTGTCACATAATCTCCCTCATGCTTCTGTGTTTCTATTCAAGACATCAAGTTTTTGCATTTCACTGAACTTAAACAAATTCTTGTTGCCCCATAAACACCAACACTAACCGTCTCTTCCAAAATGTGTTTGAACCACCATCCAGTGTGTTCAGACTTCCTCTGAAGGAGCGCAGTCCATCTTCAGATCTGAGTGTTTGTCTTGATTCTACTGCAAACAGGCGACCAAGTAGTCTCATTTAGAAACATGGGTTTAAACAAAAAGAAGGGTTTGTGAATCCTCTGCAACTCCAATGTGCACCAACAGTCACTGAAAAGACGTTTTACATTCACTCTTGTACAGGATCTATAAACTCCAGCTAATTATATTAAAACACTTGACCGTGTCAAGAAAAGAAAAGGCAATTTATAAATTCAGCTGAAAATAGCATATTGGCTACTGAAAAGCTGTCAACATTAAAAATTAAATATCAGATTAAAATAAACTTGTGAAGCTTTCACTGCTGGTTTGTGTTAGCGAGGAGCCTCACTTTGACTGTTCTGTCTCATTTTAAACTGACAAGACCAGTGCTTCTCTAATGTTTCATACCATGTCCATCACTGGACCACACAGGGACAAATAACAAAAACCAACAAGTTTTGAACTTGTCAAAATACTCAACTATACTATATCGTTATAAACATAGAACTATACCTTATTTAGCCTCAGTCATTACTAAATGGTTAGTTAACATTGGAAACATCATTAAAGAGTCATTCTTAGTTATAAATTAACACATTTATTAATGTTTTACCCATAAAGGCTAATTACTTCCCAAACCAACATACTCTTTATTCATGCTTAATAACTCATGAAATAACTATTTTATATACTGTGTATTTGTATGCAAATGCTCAAATAAATGTACCATGTGTTAAGCATTACAGAACATTTGAACTGACCAGTAATCCTGCAGTGCATCAGCAATTAAGGCAGTTGCTTGTTGTTAGGTACTTTTGTGAGCCCTTCAAAATTGAAAACTATTTATACTTTTTAAAGTATTTGTTAATGTCGACAAAACCCCTAAAGGGCCAAAACTTCCTCTTCACCTGTGGAAATCTGACCAAAATCATGGTCAATTCAAACGTTCTCTA